ATGGGGAGGAGGAGGAGGAGGAGGAGGAGGAGGAGGAGGAGGAGGAGGAGGGGGAGGAGGAGGGGGAGGAGGGGGAGGAGGAGGAGGAGGAGGAGGAGGAGGAGGAAGAGGAGGAGGAGGAGGAGGAGGAGGGCCCTGAGGATTCGCCTTGGTATCAGTACCTTGCGTTCCACCAGACACAAAACCAGGGGCGCAGACCGAGGGCGGCACAAGCTCCCCTCGGGTACGACCGCCTCTTGGAGGCCCTGGGCACGGGCGCACACGCGACTCCGGCAGCGCCTCCTGCCCAGGACACCCACGGAAGGCTGCCGCAAATGTGTCCCCGCTCTGCCCGTCCCCTTCTCAGCCCGTCCTCTCCTTGCTCGGCGGTGGACAGACCTCCCTTTAGTAAACCACCCTTTCGTGAAAACGGCCTGGGACCGAAACCGACGGACCTGGACCCGAAAAAAAATCACGGCCGCGACGCCCTCTCGCGAAACCGAAAACGGCCGATTCGCCAATCGACGTGTCAGGGTAGGAGGTCTATTAACCTCCGATCCTCAGCGCTGGATGCGACTCCGATGCGCCAAAACCCGCACGCGCCAGCGCGCACGCGCACGGAAGAGCGAGAGAGCAAGCGACCACGAGACCCTCGGACACACACGCGGGACGGCAGCTGAGCGCATGCGCGCCCCACACCCAGTGCAAGACCCTGGGCACGCCGCAGGCGCCGCTGATGCTCGTCACCCTCCTCCTCTGGTGGCGCCTCGAGGCCCCTTCGCCCTCACGGGATGCCCCACGCGGGGCCGCGCCGCCCGCCGCCCAGCCAGCGGGAGAGGAGAGAGGGTGGGGGAATGAATTCTGGAGGTCGGGAATGGCGATGTCATCTGCAATCCATAACATCGCCAGACTCGCCTTTACATAGAACCAACACCACACCCCTTTCTATCATACCCCTTTTCCTACCTCCAGAGGAATGGAAGAGGAGAAGGGCCGTCAGCGCCCCTCAAACGGGGACTCCACTAACGGGTACTTTGGCCAGTGACCCAGCGAACCCAACCCTTCCCGATGTGGGCAAAGCTGCAATGCAAGAAAAAGGCCCTAAAGTGGCAACTTTCGGCAAAAAATCAAAGTACCCGTTAGTAAGTACCCGTTACGGTGCCGTTGAGGCCGCGGGCAGTGGGAGGGGCCGGGGAGCAATGGACTGCCAGCCGCCCTGGCACGAGGGAGACCCCGGTGCTGGAAATCCGCACTTCGAGGGGCGCAGCGAGGGGCGCGAGGGGCAGGGAGGGGTTGGAAGCGTGGGAATGGGCACCAACACCAACACCGGGGGTTGCCTCCACAGGAGGAAGATGATCCTGGACTTTGGTGTTGATGGTAATCGTTCGGCCACCTGGGAAGCCAGAATCTTTCGGCCACCCAGGAACCCTCGGTGGAAGCACACCGCCGAGATTGGGGTTGGTGCGAACCTCTAGGCCTCCAAATGGGAACCATCTTGAGCAGGGACCGACCGTCCTGGCATTCCTATAGTCATGCCACGAAATTTTCTTAGAGCCCAACAAAGTTCGAACAACAAAGCCCAGGTTCTTAGAACATGAACCCGATGTGCTAAAACATGACAATCCCAACCAACATGTGTTCTTAGAACATTATTCGGGGGGCCTATAGGCGAACCGGGACGCTTTGCCACTGCTTTACCATCGCGAAGGGCCGCACGCCTGTGAGCAGCCCTCGAGGTGCAGAAGGACATCGGCGCAACGCCCCGGCGGTTCGAAGGAAGCTATACACGGCACCTCCACCTCACAGACTCCTCCTCCTCCTCCTCCTCCTCCTCCTCCTCCTCCTCCTCCTCCTCTTCCTGCACCTCCCCTCCTCCTCCTTCTCAACAGGGGCTCCTGCACCTGATCCTTTCCTCCTCCTCCTCCTCCTCCTCCTCCTCCTCCTCCTCCTCCTCTTCAACCCACTCCCGCCTCTCCTCTTCTGCCTCTGCGCCTCCCTATCCAACCCCCCCGCCGCCGCCCCCCCCGCCCCCCCCCAGCGCCGGCGAGGACGCCGCGGCCTCGACGGCCCAGGGCCAGCGCGGTGCGTCGATCGGCGTGGCCGCCGCCGCTGCACGGTTTCCCCCGGGGCCGAAGGCGACCGGAGGAGGAGGAGGAGGAGGAGGCGGAGGAGGAGAAGGAGGAGGAGGAGGAGGTGGTGGAGGAGGGGGAGGGAGAGGAGGAAAAGAGGAGAAAACTGGAGGAGGAGGAGGATGAGGAGGAGGAGGAGGAGGAGGGGGAGGGGGGAAGAGGAGCAGGAGGAGGAGGAGGGAGGAGGAGGAGGAGGAGGGAGGAGGAGGAGGAGGAGGAGGCGGAGGAGGAGAAGGGGAGGAGGAGGAGGAGGGAGGAAGAGGGAGGAGGAGGAGGAGGAGGAGGAGGGGGAGGAGGAGGAGGAGGAGGAGGAGGAGGAGGAGGAGGGGGAGGAGGGGGAGGAGGAGGACGGGTCGCTGTTAAGCCCTTCGGTCCACCCTCCGCCCCCCCCGTCGTCAGCGCGCGGGCTGGCGAGAGAGATTGAGGAGCGGAATGGGGGTCGAGAGGGTGCCGCACCCGGGAGGCCACCGGGCCTTCTCGCGGCTGTTCTCCTTGTGCTCGTCCAGGGCAGTCTTCGACATGCGCGCGAAGCTGCCCTCGCCCATCGACGTCGGCACGCCCAGGATGTACGGCCTGCCTCCTCCTCCTCCTCCGCCTCCTCCGCCTCCTCCTCCCCATCCACTTATGCTTACTCGTCCAAATCCGCATCTCCCCCTTTGTCCTCCTCCTCCTCCTCCTCCTCCTCCGCAGCAGCAGCAGCAACAATACCAACATCCTCTGTGTCGTCGTCTTGTGTTACAGGTCCCGCCCCTGATCAAATCATCATGACAAAGCGTTTGATCAACGAACCGTGCAAACAACTAACACGTACTACTACAATACGTACTGCAACAGAGGGAACATAAACACACCAATATTTCCACATGAACACTGCACAATAAGAACCGTGATTCCATACAATAAAAACAGTTTTCACCATACGCTGGGGATGTACACCGAGCTCAAGCAGCAATAGCACGCATCACCAGCATGTACTTGTACTACCCACAAGGTCAAGTGGGCATGGCGCTGACACTCGTTAGCAACATACACAAAGAAGCTGCAACGCATCAAAGGCACACATCGGCACATACATCACTACCACACACTGCTACCAAACATGTCAGCTACCCTGCTCTACCCGACTCCACTCCTACTCTGCTCTGCCCTACTCTACTCCGAATGTAGACTGAGTATCTTCTTACTGTACTCTGATCTACTCTGCTCGATTCAACCCGACTCTGTTTTGGCATCTACCCTACTCTACTCTGCTCTACCGAGCCCAGCCGTACCATGACAGATTTCCCCGAACAATGCTTGCACTTAGGGGTTCCTGCTCCTGCTCCTGCTCTAAGAGAAACTGGGCCTGTTTGTCGGTTTGCCGGCCGTAATGTCGCCGTCGCCGCCCCGTCGCCACCCGTCGTCTGGGCCTGTCTGTCGGTCGCCGGGCTTGCAGCCGCCGTCACGACCCCGTCGTCGCCACATAGGTTGCTCCACATAGATCGCACAACGCGGGTTGCACAATATCGGCCGCATCACATATATTGCACAACACCGGTTGCCCAACGTACGTTGCACAACATAGGTAGCATCACGTAGATGGCGCGGGACCCCAAACCGTGCGTCCATAGAAGTCGGTGCTCTTCCATCTATGCAGAGCAAACAGTGGGGCGCAATGTATGTGACGCAATCTATGTTATGCACCTGAATTACCTTGCGCAATCTGCGTTGTGCATTCTAGGTGGTGCTATTTACGGTAGGCAATATATGTGGTGCAATCCACTCTGCTGAACTTGAAGTCGTCATCTCCACTGCTCGCGCAAACATCCCACCCACCCACCCGCAACTTGGTTTGCAAAACCTTTTAAGACCGACTACGACGTCGCCGACGACAAGGACTAGGACGACACCGACGACGTCTCCGACGACTTCGACGACGACAACGACGTCGTCGCCGACGACGACGAAGACGACGACGACGACGCCAACGAAGGCGACGACGAGGGAGGAGGAAGGACGACGACGGCGCCAACAACGACAACGACGACAACGACGAGGGAGGAGGGAGGACGGCGACGACGCGAACGAAGACGAAGGAGGAAGGACGGCGACGCCGACGACGACAACGACGAGGGAGGAGGGAAGACGACGACGACAACGACGACGACGACGGCGACGAAATAGGAGGGACGACGACGAGACGCCGACGACGGACGACGACGACGACGTGGGAGGAGGAGGAAGGACGACCACGGCGACAACGACGACGGAAACGACCACGACGCCAAAGAGGACGACGACGACGAACACGAGAAAAGACAGAGGACGACGTAGGCGACGACGACAACGACGACGCGGGAGGAGGGAGGACGGCGACGACGACGACGACGCAAGAGTGCGCGCGCACGCTTTTGTTGAAAATCCGTGTTGCGAAACCGTGGGTTTGTGTATGTTTTTTGGACGCACGGTTTTGACATCCTTCCGAAACCGATAGGTTTTGAAGGTTTTCGGCATACGCGCGCGACGACGCGCGCGTCTGAACTTCGTCCCATTTGTTGCAGGGGATTCTCGCGACGGCACACGCGCAAGGGCGTTCGACTGATTTCGACATGCGCGCGCGCGAAGCCCGTTTGGTAGCATGTTGTGAAAATGTTGAAAAACCTATGGTTTTCTGAAGATTTCGCAAGAGCTCGCCCTGAAGCTTTTTTGGCAGATCCGTGTTGCGAAACCATGTGTTTTTGTATGTGTTTTTGGAAATTCGATTGCGAAATCCTTCCGGCACCGAAGGTTTTTGAAGGATTTCGGCATGCGAGCGCGACGGCGCGCGCGTGCGCACTTCGTCCCAGTTTTTGCAAAGGGATTCGTGAAAAAGTGCTATGTTAGAACAAAAAATGTCCAGGGGGGGGAGCCCGGCCTGCCTGGGATGGTACGATTTCATATTTAAGATGGACGAGTGTGCAGAAAATATATGAAATCATACTATCCCAGGGGGAAGCGGTAAGTCCGGGGGGGGGGTCGAGTCTATTCTCTTTTTCGAAAGGAACACCCATATGACGCAACCAGTGTGGACCAAGCATGGGGCGCAACCTTCGTGTTGTTATCTAGGTGGTGCAGTCGATGTGCTGCATGTTATGTGGTTAATCTTGGAGTTGGCAGTTCCACTGCTCGCGCAATCATCCCGCCCACCCTCCCGCAATTAGGTTGCAAAACCCAGGCGGTGGCGATTGCATGACTGCTTGGTGTTGGCTAGTGCATCTCTGAGGCCGAACTATCGTGCGCGCGGTCGTGCGCAAAGCGGCTGGCTAGTTTGGCGCGACCGACGCGCCCACAGCGGCGCTGACCGCTGCGCACTTCCCAATGCGTGTCGCACGCCGCGCTGACGTTTGGGCACTTCCGTGCGAGTCTGTGATGTGGGCGGGGTATCATGGTGACGTCGACAATGGCATGATGATGATGATGATGATGATGATGATGATAGTAGCGACGATGATGATGATGATGATGATGATGATGATGATGATGATGATGATGATGATGATGATGATGATGATAGTAGCGACGATGATGACGATGATGGCGATTGACGGCAGCAAGGCCAATAACGGCGCCGATGCTGATCACGCCGATGACGATGATGGTGTCCTCGCGTCGTTGGCGGTGTTGGAAAAATGTTGACACGCGCACGCGGTCGGCGCGCGCGAGGGATCGTGCCCCCCAACACGCGCGCAAGGGCGCTCGAATGATTTCGACATGCGCGCGCGATGAGGCCGGTGTGGTCGAATTGGGTGAACGGGTGGTGCGTCCTTTTTTTGCCGAGAACATGGTTTTCTGTAAAACTCGCAATAGCGCGGACGCTGAACTGTTCTGGGGAATTGATGCCGCAAGACCAAATAATCCAATTAGTGCCGCAAGACCACATCCTGACGAGACCTTAGGTCCATCAAAGGGTTCGGCATGCGCGCGACGACGCGCGCGTGTATTTCGTCTACTTTGTTGCAAGGGGTTCCTGAAACTGTATACTGTTAAGGCACGAGCGCGCAAATTATCTGTTGCAAAGGATGGCGGGGAAGGGTCGATCCCACTTGGGCTGGGACGGTTCGGACTCATGCTTCAGATGAACGGCGGGGCAGACTTGTACGCAAACTGCAATGCAACAGGGCGGGCGGGAACTCCAGTGGGGGGGATCCTAATTCCCTTCTGTAAGAGAAAGCTTTCCTTGCCGAACTTGGATTTGAGAGATTTACACTGCTCGCGCAATCATCCCACCCACCCATCTGGAACTCGGTTTGCAAAGCCCCTGCTGTGGGGATTGCGAGGACTGCTCGGCGCTTGATTGCGCATCGCGGCAGCCGCGCTAGCGCGCGCATGCCCGCGCGCGGAACGTCAAGCAAATATGGCGCGACCGACGCGGCCGCGGTGGCGCTGACCACTGGGGACTTCCCAGCGCGTCTCGCAGGCCGCGCTTACGCGCGGGCGCTTCAGCGCGAGTCGGGGACACGGGCGGGCGCGGTATCATGGCGACGCTGGCAACGACAGACAAAAATGATGATAGTAGCGACGCTAGCGACGATAATGACAATGCCGACGGCAAGGTCAGAAAAGGCTCCGATGACGATGATAATTTTGGAAGGATTTCAGCATGCCCCCGCGGAGGTAGGTTGCCGCCATGGTATAACTTGGGACGGATGCGTGGTTCGACAAGGATCGTGCCCCCCCCCCCCCACAGCAGGAGCGCAGGGGCGTTGTTTTTTCCTCCCCTCCGCGCGCTCGGTTCGCAGGCGCGCTGGCTGCGTCGTCCGCCTCCCCCAAGGGCCCCCTGGGGCAGTTCAGCGCCCGCCTGGGCCCGGGCCCGCCCCGCAGACCAGGCGCAATGCAGCGGCCTGGCTCAGCGTAGTGCCCAGGTCCGGGCAGCAGCCCCGTCCGGGTCCAGGGGTGTTCGACTGATTCTGGCATGTGCCCGCGAGGGGGCTGCTCGGTCACCCGTGACACCTTGGGAAGACAACTGTTTGCAACGATTCGCGCGGACGCGCGCAGACTTGTTTGAACAACCGCCATGTTCAAAATCATGTGAACGAAACCTAAACGTGCTTGAAAGATGTCGGCATGCGCGCGCGCTCTCCCTCGAATTCTTCGGAGAAAACGCATGTCTCAATATGTTATCAAATGCCATCAACTGGGTTTTTGCACGCGCGTGCCGAAATCGTTCGATCGCCCCTCCGCGCGTTCTGGGAAGGGGGCGCGACCCTGTTAAATAATACCATGCTGGCCACTCGCGCGCGTCATCCGCCTTCCAAAGTTATCGTCGCCGACGTGAGGACACCATCATCCCCATCTGCGTCATCAGCATCAGCGCCGTCTTTGCCCTTCCCGTCGTCAATGTCATCACCCGCGTCGCTACTACTGGGAACAAAGAAAAGCGACACCAACATCACCAGGGCTCGGAGATGCCAGGAAGCAAAGGGGGTCTCCCTGGTGGTGTGGTCCCCCCCTCTCGCTCGAGGCATCCCCAGCTCCAGCTCTGGGAGGCACCGTGGACCTCGTGGCTGGCGGTGGCCCCCCTTGGTGGTGTTGGTGCCGCTCCTCTCCATCCGATG